TAGTAGTACTAGTCGTAGTAGTCGTAGTAGTCGTAGTAGTCGTAGTCGTAGTTGTAGCCGTCGTCGGTCGTAGCAGTAGCAACTGCAGCAGCAGTAGCAGTAGCGGCAGCGGTGGCGGTGGCGGTAGCGGTAGCGGTATAGCAATAGAAGATGAAATAGTAGTAGTCGTAGTCGTAGTCGTAGCGGTAGTGGTGGTGGTAGTGGTAGTGGGAGTGGTAGTGGTAGGGTAGGGGTAGTGGTAGTAGTGGTAGTGGTGGTGGTGGTGGTGGTGGTGGTAGTAGTAGTAGGAGGTGGGGAGGTAGGGAGGTAGGTAGGTAGGTAGGTAGGTAGGTAGGTAGGCAGGTAGGTAGGTAGGTGGGTAGGTAGGCAGGTAGGCAGGTAGGTAGGTAGGCAGAGGTAGGCAGGCAGGCAGGCAGGTAGGCAGGCAGGCAGGTAGATAGGCAAGCAAGTAAGTAATGAAGTCAGTGAGTAAGTATGTTCGTAGAAATAGTACTACAGGTTACCAATAATGGAAGCTGTAGTAGGTGTAAGACTGAGTGTAGGAGCTAGTCTTCTTCTTGCATTTTTCTCCCCATCTTGATGCTTATTATGGTGTTGTAGTCTTTGCCGTGGTCATCGTCTTCGTCGCTGGAGTCGTCGTCTTTGTTATGCCTGACGATGATTCTTTTGTTGTTGTCGTCGTCGTTGTTGGCGGGGATGATGGTTGACGATGAGAACCCTAAACCCTAAACCCTAAACCGAGGCGAGGCTAGGGAATAGCAGCTTGGACTCGAAGTTTCGAGGCGAGGGGCCTCGGCTTAATGTAGGGGCCTTCACAATTAGAATAGGGTTTTGGGGCCCATTATACTATAACTATATTAAGGAACCCCCAAAATAATAAAGGTATTTATTAAGGCCCCTATATTAGTTGTCCGACTTCTTCGGCCCGGAGCCTCTGAAACGCAGAGAGGCTCGAGGCTCACCGAAGGCCCGAAAGCCCAGCAGATGACATCGCTCCAGTGCGTTGTCACAGTGCCCAAGACCCCAAATCCTAAGCCTGAACCCTAAACCCTAAACCCTAAACCCTAAACCCGAAGCCTAAACCCTAAACCCAGACCCTCAACCTTGACCCTGAACCCAATGCAGTGCAAGCTAAGGCGGGACTGGAAGCAGGTGAAAGTCCCCGAGATGGATGCAGCTTGGACATTTTTTGGGCTGAAGCCCTGGCAATAGAGCGGTTTAGGGTTCAGGGTTATCAGGGTGTTAGCATTACTTGTGTATAATCATACCAGAAGTTCAGCATAATGGTATAAAGAAGTCTTTTCTGGCATGATGTTGTTTAGCTTTAGCTTCAGACCTGGGGTTTTACTCCATCCTAAACCCTAAACCCTAAACCCTAAACCCTAAACCCTAAACCCTAAACCCTGGGGTCCCGGTTTTCGGGCCTGGACCCGAAAAGTTGTCTCAGGCCGGTTTTGGTTTGGGAGTGGTAGGAGGTGGTTTTAGGGGTGGAGGGGTTTGAGGCTGGTTTTATATGGGTGGTTGTCAAAATTATGGTCCTTTTTGGGTCCTTATTATAATACGGCACCTACTATTTAGGGTAGTCCAAAAGGGACCATAATTTTGACAACCACCCATATGGTGTTTTGGGGGTGAAGGGTTTGAGGTTCAGATCACACTCCGTCAGTCATCCAAGGGTGGTAATATAGGGGCCTAAATTTACCTATGCTATTTTGGGAGTTGCTTCTTGTAACTATAGTATAATATACCCCGAAACCCTATTGAAACCCTAAACCCTAAACCCTAAACCCCAAACCCCAAACCCTAAACCCTAAACCCTAATTATTATGGCCCCTAGATTAGTTCCGGGATGGAAGGCGAGCTCCGACCGAAAAGGGTCCCCCCAACGTCGCTTCTGTTGGCAGCTCTGCTCCTTCCCCTGAGTCACCCGCTCAAGTTGGTGTCAAGATGTTTGGTTATGGTTTAGGGTTTAGGGCCTTATAAACCCTAAACCCTAAACCCTCTTTTTGCTTTGTCGCTGGCTCCTGAAATTGTAGATCCGTCCATTTAAGGTTTAGGGTTTAGGGTTTAGGGCCTTTAGGGTTTAGCGTCTGGGGCTTACGGGGTTTCAGGGCGCGCAGGCATTGGGCTTTGTCTCCGCAAGGATTGGTTCAACACCGTCGGTGGGCTCCTGAGGAAGAAAGGGTACCGACCAGAAGCTGTGCGGCAGTTACTGGAGGGATCCCTGGTGCCTGCAGCGATGTTTTTTGAGGGCCCGTCCCAATATCCCGAATTACCTAATATAGGGGCCTTAATAATGAGAATAGGGCTTTGGGGTATATTATACATTTTTTTTGGAGCCCCCAAGATAGTCTTGATAATTATTTGGACCCCTATATTGGACCTAAACTCCGCATGCCCTTCTGCTTGCACCCCCCAACCATGATCCTTCACACTCTGCACTTGACTGGGAAACCTTAGCCTGCTTAGGAGCCAGCCATTAAGATATGCGTGAGCGTGCACGGTGCTGATACATCTGTTCGGTGCGGAATCCCTAAACCTAAACCCTAAACCCTAAACCCTAAACCCTGAACCTTAGTCAGTGTTCGGCTGGTTATAGCTTTTCGGTTCAGGTCCCTGGTGTCGGATTTTGGATCTGGAGTTCGGGCATGGGGTTGGGGCAAAACGATGTCCGGTGAGTTGCATTAAAGGATGGGGTCTGGGATTTCGGGTGTTCGATGTCGTCGGGTTTATCGTTGAAGATGCACAACTTTGAAGTTCTGGGTTGAAAATTCTAAACCCTAAACCCTAAACTTTAAAAAAACCCTGAACCGTTTGGGTGGCTAAAGGTAAGGGGTACTGGGGAGAGCGAGAGCGAGAGCGACGCTTTCGATTTGTGCACAGACAAAGGAACACCTCGAAAGCCTGCCATTTGGTCATCCCACAAGCTGGCTGCACCTCCAAACTAGGGCGTAAGGGTTTAGGGTTTACCTTTCATACTCTCATTGAAGCCGAATCGTACACTAGAAAAGCCGATCTTGTTCCACTCAAAAAACACAGAAGCCAGAGACTCCAATATCCCTTAGTTAAGGAATATACCTTAAACCATATTAATTAGGGATCAGGGTATATTCCTTAATTAAGGGATATTGGAGTCTCTGGGAAGCCCCAAACCTTGACTCAAACGCCACGAACATGAGACTAGACGACTGCAACTCTGCAACCTCGAACAGGCAGTCGGTTCTGGAACCAGTAAATCCCCCAACCTTAAACCCTAAACCGGGAATCTACGGTTTGGGGTGTAGGGTTTAGGTTTCCGGGGGATCCAAAATCCCAAGCCCTTTAGCCCGCAACCCAAACCCCCTAAGCATGAAAGTCCCTTAGTCTTCAACCCGAACTTCTCTGCAGACCAAGGACCAAGAGGGCGATCGCTTTGAGGTCCTCAACCGCAAAGGCGTCCCCTTCTCTTTGAAGGACTGGAGCGCAGACCCTAACATAGAAGCCTACAAGAATACCCATATTATTCATTAGGGTTCCTTATTATAACTGTAGTATAACGGAGCCCAAAACCTTATTCTAACTATGAAGGCCCCACCATCAACCCTAAACTCTAAACTGCTGATACGAAGCTGCCCCTCCATGTGCACTTCTCTGTAACAAACACAATAGTTATCATGGGTCCGTATGTTTCGAGCTCGCAAGAACACAAAACGAAAATCGGAAAACTATGCTGGTAGCAATTGTCGTTGTATTGCTATCGTATGATTGGTGTTGCTACGATTAGTAGTAATCGCCTGCGAGAGGATGAAGCCTTGGTCTCAGCTGGGTGGGTTGAAAGCGGAACGTGAAGCGAGAGGACCCCTAAACCCTAAACCCTAAACCCTGAACCCTAAACCCTTTACTGGCTAGTCGCCACAGCTCAGCTGACGGTATAAAGTAATATGACATAAATACAACATAGCATAAAATAAGTTGCCCTTTCGGTTGAGTCAGCCCTCTCCACAGGCAAGGTTCACAGGACTGACTCAATTCCACATGCAGCCTCTGTGCAGCGAGCATGGCATCGTCCTACTGGCAGCCGAGCTCAGAGTCTTTGGAGTTTCGGGGTTTAGGGTTTAGGGTTTAGGGTTTAGGGTTGAGGGTTTAGGGGTACCATCACCCAGCATTCGCTGGATTTGCTTCGTGCATCTTGTTCTCAAGTTGAGTTGACACTAGTTAGAATTTATCACTCCGGCAAAATCGGAGGCTGCTAAACTTCCAGTACGCTCGACGTTGGTTTTTTCTTTTTTGTGCATGGCATGGCTTGGCGACGCTTTGCCAATAAGTTCGCGATCTGAACCAAAGCGGCCCCGCCCTCCTCTTTGACGTCCCAGACCCTGAACCCTAATAAATCCCAAACCCTAAACCCTCAGCTCACACAACCCCCCTACTCCCAAACTCCCAAGCCTCAAACTTTATAAACCCTAAACCCTAGACCCTAAACCCTAAACCCTAAACCCTAAACCCTAAACCCTAGACCCTAAACCCTAGACCCTAAACCCTAAACCCGAAGCCCTAAACCTTAACACCGAAACCCCAGACCCGAGAGCCCTGGACATCACCCTGAAGGACCAACGCCTCGTGAGCCGAGAGGGGCGGCGCTGCCTGGTTTCGGCGGACTTCCCTCTGCTGGTGAACATCAAGGCCCTGTGTTAGGGTTTAGGGTTTAGGGTTTAGGGTTTAGGGTTTAGGGTTTAGGGTTTAGGGTTTAGTAGTGGAGGCCCAAAAGTTGGAAATCCAATAGCCTCAATCCTTAAGAGTAATGTATAAGGAATCCCAGCACTATTTGTCCCGAATCCGGTTTCCAAATTTTTGGGGTTTACTATAGTTCATAGTGTTGATGATATAAATGCCGCATTTACTTTAAGGGCCCTAATCTATGGGAATTATGATATATTCCTTATTATGGGTTATGCAGGATTTACATCATCAGCCGTATCAGTTAGTTAGTTGGTTGATCGATTGACTGGTTGGCTGATGACTACCGCAGGACAAAACTTCGCCACATGGCCTCTAGCTCAACAGATAAGGCACTGCAGCCCCTTTCCCCTTACACTCCTCACACAAGATCCCAAAGGCTCTCCGCCGAGAGCTATGTAGTAGTTCAAATGTATTCCGGGAGATTAACTACTCCACCACGCTGGCCCTGTAAAACGGACCCTCGGCCTGGACAATGCGTAGTGGTGACGAGACAAGGATCATGATCCCTCCTAAACGCTAAAGCCCGAAACCCTAAACCCTCTTGTGTCTTGAGACGACTGCTAGGTTGTTGAGGGAGGCTGAAGTTCGAAGAGACTTTATCGGGATTGAAAATCAATAGTCGATACTGCCCTTCTTCTTAAGCAAGAGATGGAGGGTTTGTTATGCTGATTCAAGCAAAATTCCGTAGCTATGTCTCTTCATGTAGGAACCTGTGGCATGGATCCTAATCATTGTTTGAGGATTTGGATCCGGCAGTTCCTCAATCATGTTCTTGCACTACCTCAGTGCCACTACGTGGCGGCTTCCGGTTGAAAGAACTTCTTCGGTTCGGGGGACAACCACAATCCAGAAATGTATGCCTTCAAATATGCGCGGCTTTTGTTCTGATTTACTGTATACTCCTTGGCTCAGGGGGTGCTGGATGCTTTGGGCCCAGATCCTAAACCCTAATTACACCCAAAGCCCTAGAACGTAAAGCCTAGACCTTGGACCGCAAACCCTAAACCCTAGGTCGTACAGCCGAAACGTTGGATCCTAACCCCTAAGCCCTAAACCCCTAAACCCTAAGCACTCTTTATCATATAGTATTGAAGCCTAAAATAGGAGCCTAAATAATTACCTATACTATTTTGGGGGTTCCTTAATATAGTTATAGTATAATATACACCAAAACCCCGTTCTAATTATTAAGGCCCCTGCATTAAGCCCTGGGGCCTGGACCTTGAACCCAAAAGAAGGAGTGGAAGATCTCGGAGTTGCGTCGCAAAGTTCGGCTTTCTGGGACCGAAGAGAGGAATAGTCAGGCCAGAGAGGGTTTCGGGTTTAGGGTTTAGGGCTTGCGGCGTGGGGATGTAGGGTTTACGGCTTGGGGTTCGGGGTGGAGGTTTACGGGTTGGTGTGAATGAGATCGGGGTTCTAGATCAACGGTTTCGGTTGTAGGCTGAAGTGTTCAAGTTTGATGCTTGAGGGTTGTTCTGGTTTTGATGCGCGCAAGCAAACTTTTGAGTATCCACCAAAAGCGTAGTAGAGGAGTCTCGTACTGGAGCGGGGGCGGAGGGGGGGGGTGTATATGCCCCCCAAAAAGTAGATATCAAGTCCATCCAATGGCTTTGCAATCGGTGTCAAGAACAGCGGTGTGGCTGAGAGGGCCTGCCGGGTTTAGAGTTTAGGGTTTAGGGTTTAGGGTCGGATTCAGAGGTTGACATGGGTGGTTCGAAAGTGGAGCAAGTTGGGCATTGGTACCTTCGGGTTAAAGGGTTTAGGGTTTAAGGATGTAGGATGTATTGGGAAGGACTAGTAGAATGGGCCCCAAAACCCATTCTAATTATTAAGGCCCCAATATTGGGATCGAAAGAAGAACAGGCTTCTCTAGGATGATCGCCCAGGCCCAAAGCCTCAAAACGTTAAGGCCTAAACAAAAACCTTGAAGCTTTCCGAAGCTACACGTCTATCTTTTAGAAAATCTATCTTGTAGGGCCAGATTATTGTCATGCTCACAAACAGAAGCCCCGAACACGCCCTAAATTTAAGCCTTGAGGCCTAAACCCCTAAACCCTTAAGCCCAAGTTAGCCCTACCAGCTCGGGGCCCTCAGTCCCACCAGGTTGCCATCCAGAAGCAGATCGAGCAACTCAAAAGGGGACGGCCCGGCCGCTTGGACGCGATCGCCCGGTTTTGCGCGCTGTGGGGTTTGGGGTTTTCAGGGTTTAGGGTTTTTAGGGTTTCGGGGTTTAGTATTTTAGGTTTTTAGGGTTTGAAGGGTTTGGGGGCCGATTAAAGGCTTCCGGGGAAGCATCCGACAAGCTTGCTAACAATTACGGCATCTACTGATGTTGATCCCATGTGGCTATCACTAATGCTTGTGCATTCAGGCCAAGATGTCGATGGCAGGGTTTTTTATGTTTCGTTGCTGCTTGTTGTGGTGGTTGTTGCTGCTGCTAGTGCTATTGCTGCTATACATTGGCCGGGATCTGGGAAGCTGGTGCCTTCGCATGGCCGTCGCTATACTTGGCGTTGTTTGCATGTCTGCTATTACTGGAGGCCGAGTCAGGGACTGTGCGGGTTTAGGGCTTTAAGGTACTAGTACAGGCTGCGTTAATTACTAGATCAGGGTTTGGGGATACTACAAAACTACATTAATATTAAAAGCCTGATATTTGGCAGCACTATTCCCGGGGGTTCCGACCCGACCACGTATAGAGTATAGTATAATATTTGGCCTCAGACAGTAGGGTAGTTTTAAGGCACAAAACTACATCCTTGTACCTGGAGGTGATGGTTGCTGTCGTATCTTTGGCAGTTGTACCATTCTGCTTCCGCTGCCTGCTGAAAACCCTAAACCCTAAACCCTAAACCCTAAACCCTAAACCCTAAACCCTAAACCCTAAACCGTTTTTGGGGGTTGCAGGCTCAAGGGCGTCAAGGCCTCTCGGCACAAGGTGCGAAGACTTCGATGTGGTTCAGAGTTCCTAAGCCCTAAACCCTGAACCCTAAATCGTGAATCCCTAAACCCTAAATCCTCAAACCGTAAACCCTAAACCCTAAATCCTCAAACCCTAAACCCTAAACCCAAATCCTGAAACCCTAAACCACCTCTTGCAAGCACAAACGTATCAGGCCCTAATCGTTGACCTAAGCCCTAAACCCTAAGCTCTAAACCCCGAAGCCCAAAGCCCTAAACCCAAAGCCCTATACCCGCGGATTCCAGGCAAACTCCTGGGTGCGCAGGAGCAAGAGAAGCTGAAGCAGCTTCGTGAAGCAGAGGATCGTCTTCAGGCGGCCATGCAGACAGTTCGGGTGAGTAGGGTGAGAGGCAGGGTCCCTACTGATTCAGAATCATATTTCTTCAAACTCCCCATGTATCTAGAACAGATATGCCTACTCCCCTGTCTTTTCAGTGTAGCATAATACTGATAGGTTCCTGTATGCAAAGAATCAGACCTAACTTCGGGGCTTTCCAAGCAAACCTGTGCCACGCGTGGGAGTTTCGGAAAGCCAGGGATCCACGCATAGAGCCCCCCCAAATAGTTAGATCTTTAGGGTTGGGTTTAGGGTTTAGGGTTTAGGGTTTAGGGTTTAGAGTTTAGGTAAAGAGAGACTCCTCGACAAGGGACATGTGACTTTCTAAAGCAGTGAAGCCCGTGAATGCAAGCTAGAGCAGAGCTCCAACCCTAAACCCAAAGCCCTAAACCCTAGACCCTAAACCCTAAACCCTAAGCCATGTTCCTTAAACCCTAAACCCTAAACCCTATGCCCTAAACCACCCTAAACCCCACTGCGAAGCTCTGCACCCCCGGTTTCGGGCTTAGGATCTCAAGCCCTACAAGCCCTGGTGGGTTCGTAAGGTCTGAGCTGTCATTTTTGGGTTTTGGGTGTAGGGTTTAGGGGTTTAGGGGTTTAGGTGTTTAGGGGTTTAAGGGTGTTATAAAGGGGCATTAATAATCATTAATAATTACCTATACTATTGTGAGGGTTCCTTATTTTAGTTATAGTACAATGTACCCAAAACCGTATTCTAATTATAAAGGCTCCTACATTACGTCACTAAGCTTTGCGTTTCAAGGCTTTGGGGTTTAGGGTTTAGGTTCGGGGTTCAGGGTTTAGTGTTTAAGGTTTTAAGACCCTGGTAAGGACCGGAGATTTGCAGCACATGGGAGGCTATTTCAAATTGTTGGGACTTTTCGAGGTTGGTGTTCCGTCGAGAATATCCGCAACTCTTACCCCTAAACCCTGAACCTAAACGCCGCCTTAACATGTTAAAGATACGAGCCACAGTCGTACCAAGGAAAGCAGCGGCATCATTTGGGCTTGAGTAACTGGTACTATGACTCAGGCTCATGGTAGAAAGCCGCCGCCAACCCATGCCTGCTGCTCCAAACCCTAAACCCGAAGCCCTAAACGCTGACCCGCGGGAAGGAGGAAAAAGGTCCTGTAAAAAAACAGCCCTTTATGAAACAAGGGGCTTGTTTGGCACCTCTGGGAAGGTGCAGCGGCAGCAGGTGCAAGCTGAGGCGGAGCTCCACTTGAAGAGCCGGGCGTCGGTGCTGCTCCAGGCTTTTGGGTTTTCAGGTTTAGTTTAGGGATTGTTGTTCAGGATGAATTCAGCCTTTATGGCGCAGCGTTTTTCTTTCAGGTTTTCAGGGTGCAAGTGTTCAGGGTTAAGGGCTGATGAGGTTCGCGCCGAGGCCGTTCTGCCCCACCTGAGAGGGTTCTGCAGATTTCACGGACAGGTGTTGTTCGTGGGCCCTACTTGTTGTGCCGAAGCTCAACATGAAATTGCAAAGGCATGTGTATGAACCCACCCAAGCTTAAACTCTTTTGCTGTAGAGGGTCCTTTTGTGCCGCACCCTCCAAAACCCTAAACCCTAAACCCTAAACCCGAACCCTAGTTCCTAAATCCTGAAACCGGCTCGCGGGACGAAGCCACGCTTGTTCTTTCTAGAGATCCCTCAACAAACGCTGGACACATCAACTCCAGTATCTCCTTTAAGGGATTCCTATTGAAGTGCTGGGGTCTATGGCCCTGCCCAGTTTTTGAAAAGGATGACAAACAAGTATCTGCTTCTATAAAGCTCTACAACACCCTATGAAGCACCATAGAACCCTGTGGCGGTTCGTTTTCCTTCCCGGCATCTGCACCCAATGAGGCCCAACCGAACACAGGACCCATATCTGGGGTATAGGGTACCCTAAACCCTAAACCCTAAACCCTAAACCCTAAACCCTAAACCCTAAACCCTAAACCCTAAACCCTAAAGCCTAAACCAGTAAGGAACCCTTGGAGCCCCAACTCTAAGCCCCAACGCCCTAGACTTGAACCGTGCGTAAATCCCAGTCGAGACCCCACACCACCATCTGACTCTCGTGGTTTAGAGTTTAGGGTTTAGGGTTTAGGGTTTAGGGTTTAGTGTAAGTCCAAAGCCTCAGCCCCAACCATGTCAACAGCACATTCGAATCCCAAGAGCCCAACACGCCTTCAATCAAGGAATATACCTTGAACTCTAGTATTCTTGTCATACCCACTACACAATTTGGGCAGGGGGGGGGGGTCGGGGGCGCCTTCTTCCGATCTTAACTACGACTAGTTAGCTGATTAGGGCTTAGATAGCGGGAACCGCTGACCTGACCTGAAGCTCTAAACCCTAAAGCCCAAAACCGTAAAACTCTGAAAGCCCTAAACCCCCACATCCTGAAGCCCTTTGAAGAACCGGAGCCCCTTATAGGAACCCTTCTAGAAGGCCGTGATTCGTGGGAAGTTCGTGCGCCTGCAGCTGCGACGGCGGCACCGGGCGGCGCGGACGCTGCAGCGCGGCTGGCGAGGTATGAACGGACTCGCTCTCTTTTTGGGGCCTTTGGGAGTTGGAGCTTCGGGTTTAGGGTTTTGGGGGTCTCTATGAAGATTCTGAACGGGTTCTACAACCTCTTATTCTTGCATTTGGAGTGGTTTGGGTTTGGGTTTGCATTTGGGCCCCTAGACTTCGAGATTCTTTGTGCTTTGTTGGTTTCAAGTTTAAGAAGACTCTGAACCCTAAACCCTAAACCCTAAACCCAAAACCCTAAACCCTAAACTTAAAAACGTTGGAGCCTTTTGCCCCGGAAAGGTTTCAGACTTCGGACCTCAGGCCGAATAAGACCTCAAACGGTTCAGGGTTTGGGGTTTAGGCCTTACATAAGGGTTTTGGGTTTGGGGTTTAGGGTTTAGGGCTTAAAGGTTTTGGGTTCAGGGTTTGGGGTTTAGGGCTTAAGGGTCAGCGTTTTGGGTTTGGGGTTTAGGGTTTAGGGTTTAAGGGTTTAGGGCCTCAGGGTTTAGGGTTCAAGGACTTAGTATTTAGCCCTGTAGACAACTGCGTGAAAGCCCATTTTACAAGAGTTCCCCAATACCCAAACTTTAAACTTTTTGGGTTCTTGGAAGTATGTAGTAGTCTGAAATTTTAACCTTTGTTGGCTTGGCTTATGGGGGAAGTAAGTTCATCCCAGATACCAGTATAAAGACGTCATGAACATTCTGAGCCTGAATCCGTTCGGAAGGCTACTTGGCCCGTCTCCGTGTTCTCCAGATGCGAGAGCTGGCCAAGCAGAGGGTGAAGAAGTTGGGCCGCAAGTTGGTGAGGGACTAGGCTTTTGGGGTTGAAGGTTTGGGTTTCGGGTATAATGTAGGGCCCTTAATAATTAAAATAGGGTTGTGGGGGTTCCTTACTGTAACTATAGTATGCTATGCCCCAAAACCCTATTCTAATCATTAAGGCTCCTATATGGGGGTTTCCAAAAATAGGGGACCCTACTATAGTACCCTAAATAATAGGATTCTTACTATAAGGACCCCAAAATAAGGTACCCCTAATTTTTGGAAACTCCCATATTACGGTCAAAGGCTTTGGGCTTACGGTTTAGGGTCCTGGGTTAAAGTTGCGGCAGGCCGGAGGCCTCTTGAACTTCAGTGTCAGGGCGGATGGGAGCACGTTGAACAGCAGCATTCCCTACGGTTGATGATCTACATCCAGCATCGCCCCATAGTTAAGGAATGTAAAATGTACCATAATTCCCATAGTTTAGAGTCCTTAAGGTAGTGCAGGATTTTATAACATCAGCAGTATGTCTTTTTGAACTATCTGTGCTTCCGAGCTGCCCTGGGAGCTGGAGCCTGCTCTGCTTGGAGGTTCCTAGGTAGTCATAGGTAGGGTAACTGTAGTTCTCACGCAAAATAGGGGACATTTAACTCCACTTACAACTACCATAAACCTTAAACCCCAAACCCTAAACCCGAAAACCATCTAAGACCTCAAACTCCATTTATAACTACCCATGCTTGGAGGTTCATGGATAGTTATAAGTCGGGTTATAAGTAGGGTTACTATAGCTATAACCTATATTAGGGGACTTATAAGTCCACCTATAACTACCCATGAACCTCCTAGTGTACCCTCCAAGGATCCCAGCATTTTCAGAATTTCGTTTTCGTCCGCCCGCTTATGCGAAGTCCCGGGTTCAAGGTGGAAAGCCATGCCGTGATCACGTAACTTAGGGCCTTAATACTTAGAATAGGGCTTAGGGCCTTAATTTAGGGTTTAGGGTTTAGGGTTTAGGGTTTAGGGTTTAGGGTACTTAGAATAGGGCTTGGGGGTATATTATACTATTTATAATACAGAACCCCGAAAATAGTACTTGTAATTATGTAGGGGTATATTATACTATTCATAATACAGAACCCCCCCCCAAAAAAAATAGTACTGGTAAGTATTTAGGCCCCTATATTAGGCTCCCAAAGCCCGGCGCTTGGAGCTTAAGCTTCCCGCATGACCGGCCAAAACCCTCATGCGCAATCCTGACACCAAGGCAGATCAAGCATGTGTCTCAGCTGCAGAAAGGGTTTAGGGTTTAGGGTTTAGAAGAAATCTATAGTGCATGGCGCAGACCCTCTGCTGAGGCCATAAACGGGGTAGTAGCCTTCGGCTTTCCGATTGAGGCCCGATCGGAGCTGCTGGCCCGAAGACGACTTGTATCTGCGCTTTCTAGTTCTGCTGCTGCTGCTGCTGCTGCTATGCTGCTGCCGCCACTTCTGAAGTGGCGACGCCTCCTCTTGGAGCCCCCCGTTTCCTTCCTCACTGTAAAGTTGGAAGAGCAATTGAAAAGCTAGTTCTGTTATGATGAACCATTTAAAATTTAGGGATGAGGATGCGGTGAGTTGGGAGCATAGCAATTCTATGCATGCAAAAGTTGAGCTCTTGTAGTCTCGCCACGTCGGCTTCACCACACAAGGAAAAACGTTTCCTAACAGGCGATGTGAGGGCTCTCCAACAGACGCAACTCTGAACTCAAAGAGGCTTGCACACAGAAGCCACCCAAGCGCCAGACCATAAGCCCAGGTTCGCAATGCGGAGTCCTTGTTCGAGGCCGTCCACGATCGCCAGGACTGCCCTGCAATGAAGGCCTTGGGCCGACTCCGATCCTCAATGCACCGCTCTACGGTCTCGGTTTAAGTGTTTTAGGGATTTGGAGGTTCAGGGTTTATAGGGCTTGGGGTTCATGGTTGAGGGTTTTAGGGTTTGGCGGTTTAGGGGTTAAGGGGTTGGGGTTTACGCTTTAGGACAGAAGAGGTAGGAGCTCCTTCTGCAAAGCAGGAGGCTGTGGCCATCCGTGTGGTCCGCGACAAGGAGCAGCCGGCTTTTCGCAGTCTGCTGTGGTTCTGGAGAAACTTCGGGGGTCCCTGAAAACTATGTGATTCTACAATCCCTGAACAGATGAGGCACCAAGAATCCTACACATATAAGCCCAAAGCCAAAAGCCGGATGTCACGCAATCATTGGAGTTTGCAGATTCTAACTCAGGGGCAAGCCTTGAGTGTGGGGTTCTCGGTGGGGGTCCGGAGTTTCACCAAAGGGGGGTGTTCAGTCGCGAAGATTAGTCCAGTGGCTTTTGTAACGATCCCATAAACTCCCAACTGTAATTAACACCGGAACGGAAGCCCCCAAAGACTGACTCATGAAGCCTCCCCAAGGATCTAGCAGGCGGCAGCGTGAGTTTCACGTGTGCTAGTGTGACTGGAACGACGGGTTCTGCTATCACGCGCTGCCCCATGCTTTACAAAATACAACCAAACTCTAATCCACTAAGCCCCCTAAACCCTAGCCCGTAAACCCTGGCACCCTCAACACGAATAATCTTGACATGACAGCCGAATGTCCCGGAACGGCAGGATTTTAATCCGTTTGGATTCCGCCATCGAGTGCCTCGGAGATAGAAGCCGCGGGCAGTTTTGATTGAGACCCTGGGCGTTCAGGGTTTGGGTTTAGTGTTTAGGGTTTAGGGTTTTTTGGGCTTAGGGCTGCAGAGTTTGGGATTTGGTTTAGGGTTTCTGGTTGGGGGGGTTGCGTGTTCTCGGTTGGGGGTTACGGAGTGTTGTCGTGCTTTCGACTGAGGGTTTACAACGCTCTGACTTCGGAGCCCGCTTTTGAAAGGTGCTTTGTGGTCATCAACGATTCCTTCAAAGATCCCTTTGGTTCCACGTTGTGTGAGACTGGTCTCCGAATTATGCAACCCTAAACCCTAAAGCCAAAGCCCTGTGCTAAGCGTCTCGAGAGTTTCGCCCCTTCGAGCTTCAACAGGGAGCTCCCATTGAGGCCTGGGGCCTGGAGTTTGTGATTGAGGATTGAGTAGTGGTCAATTTCGGACATTTTGTTTTGTTCCTACAGCTGTTGTCCACCAAAGTACGACAGTACTGCTGACATGTACGGTTACGTTTGTTACAGATAGGTGGGTGGATGGGTAGATATACAGATGGCAAGGTTGATAGTAGATAGCCAGCTGGCTCTATAAGTGATGACTCAAGTGGCTAATGCATAATGTCTCAACGGTGGGGGGCCTCCACGCCTAAACCCGGAAACGTGAACTTGAAACCTGAAAGACTAACCTAAACCTTAAACCCTAAATCCCTAAGCCCTACGCCCTAAACCTAAACAAACCCTTTAAACCCTAAATCCCTAAACCATAATCCCCAAGCCCTAAACCCTAAGCCCCAAGCCCTAAATCCCTAAGCCCCCTAAACCCTAAACCCTACATCCCTAAGCCCCAAACCCTAAATCCCCAAGCCCTAAACCCTAAGCTTAGCGGTTATCGAAGCTTGAGCCAAGGTCTCGCAGCAGTCTCTTCTGCATGCGGCTGCCCAGGCCTTCAGGGTTTTGGGGTTTAGGCTTTAGAGCTTGGGGTGTAGAGTTTAGGGTTTAGAGTTTCTGGTGGTTTAGGGTCTAGGCTGTAGAGTTTGGGGTGTAGAGCTTAGGGTTTAGAGTTTCTGGTGGTTTAGGGTTTAGGCTTTAGAGCTTCGCGTGGTGGTTTAGGGTTTGGGTTTAGGCTTTAGAGTTT